GTTTTATATTTTTAAGTCTGGGCCAGAAGTATTAAAGGCCCTGGGCCAGAAGTGTTAAAGGCCCAAACGCAGCCTAGAAAAGACGAAGTCCGAGGTCAAGTTCAGGTTGTTGCTTGTAAATGGCTCCTTCGTTGTCATTTTGGGAATACACGGTGATCTTCTTTCTGCGCCCCTTTTTCGCCATTGTCTTCGTTCTCTTCTTAATATCTTCTGGTAATTCTTTCGTTCTCTTGATTCTCTCTTCATCGCCTTGATTTTTTGAGTTGAAAAGGGAACACGTGTGTGAGGTGGTGTAGGTTGGTTTGTGGCGTGGAAACTGGTGCTGGTTCACGTTCCTTTGGTGCAAGAGGTTTTCGGCCTCAAAAAGAAACCTGTCCGAGTGAAGCCCCAAATTGGTCGCTTCTCCAAAATTTACAGCACACTTCGTGCCCAAAACTCACCTCCCACGAGGTAATTTCTCAAAAAAAGAAATCTTTTTGTTTTCCTAAAAGATTTTTATTTTTTTATTTTTATTTTCATCCCTTTGGCAATTATATGTTAGGGGATTTTTTTCTTGTGTTGTGAAAAGGAATCTACAATAAGATTTTGTTCGGTAAATTTGGAAAAATTGTTGAATGCTCCCTCGTGCTTAGTTGTGATATCAATATTGGATATGGACTTGTGTTTTTTTAGGACAGAGCAAGTTTGTAATTGTGATGACTTGTCTATTTATCTGTTCATTAGAAAGAATCACAAAAGGGTGGAATTGAGTGGATATTAGATTGTAGATTACTCTGTTTGAAATAGAACGAAATGGATGCAATGAGGTGCAATTCAATCCTTCTCATTCTGTTCTATTCAAATCATCATTGTATATCCAAACATAGCTCAATTGTATTCGCTTAGTTGTTTATTCATTTGTATCCTTTTGTTTCCTTCGTGGGAAAGGAGGAGAATGTCACACTGATTCACCTTGCTTCCTATTAAATTTCAATGACTGTTCAAAAGTTTCTGTTCAGGTTTTAGGTATGATATGAGTTATTTGTCTTGCGATCTTATTTTCTAAAAGGCTGGTTTGTATTTGCATAGGATAGAGGACGAGGAAAGTTGAAGGTTATTGTAGATGGATTGAAATAGAAAAGAGCGAAAGATAAAACTATTCCTAGGGTCAGGAATCAGATCATAACTTTCTGATCCTATTCTCATTCTTAACTCTGGTCAAATTCGAAACAAAAAAAACAGGGTACCTGGTTATTAGCCCAGGACACATGATAAGTCATAATATTAGAACAAAAGAAGAGACATACCATGTTTTATTTTAATTTATTTTTTATATAAATATGAATGTAATTATCAGGTAGGAAATTTAAATGTAATCTATTAATATAAAATGGGAGTTGTCCTTATTATATGTGAGCCTATATGTTCATGATAGTTCATAACGATATAATCATATAAATCTAATAATATTGATTCACTACTTTAAATCTCCAAAATTCCAAATACTCTGTGAAAATATGAACCAACTATTCTTAAAGCAAAATACTAAACATGGTTTAGAAAAACAGAAGGGAAGCATCATTGAGGCATGTGCATTGTATTGAAAAGAAAAAAAAAATCAACAGACACGAGCACAATGAAATTTTAATTGCAATGTATCGATTTCAATTATTAATGTATCGATTTCAATTATTAGCAGCGTACTGTGGAAATGATTAATGGTGAAATTTCTATTGAAAACATAGCGCATAATTATTATGCAGCATCTATCAGTGGATTCTTTTTCACATATTCTTAGTATTGATAGCTAAGTGACATCATAAAAATTAACTATGTAATTTAATAAAATTATTTATTAAAAAGGTATTATGTAATATTGATCTTTTTTCGGCTCGGAATGGTCTTACAATAAGTTGGGCCAAAAATAACCGAGACTCTTTAACTTTGGGCAGCTTATTCCTTAACAAGACCCAATTAAACTTGACCATTAATGGACTGGAAGTCCATTGTACATTCATTGAAGCAAATCATATTTCAGTTTAGCAGAAAACTGAACTAAACAAAATCACAATAAATTTTTTTCAGTTATTTCAACATGTTTAGTGAATTGTTGTATTTCTTTTCCATGTTAAACGTTGATGTTAAAAACTAGGTTTAATACATCATTTGATTCCTACTTTTAGGGGTTTGATTCAAAGTAATTGTACCTTTTAAAAAAATTCAATAAGACCCCATATTTAGTTAAAAAATGTCCAATCCGATCCTTTCTACTCACGTCGTTAAAAACATAACGGTGCAAATGTCACTGGGTCATTTATGTCATCTCATAAGCACATGGCACACGTTAATAGGTGGACTTAAATGATTTTTTAATTTAAAAAAAAAATCTCTGCCACGTCATCATCACCATCTCCAGTCAAACCCTAATTTCTCTCCAAGAAACCCTAGTTGCCGCACCATCCAGTGTCGTCATCGCCATCCTCGCTGATAACCGTCCTCTCCAACGCATCACACGCCACCACCAAAGCTATGCGACGAGAACGCGAGAAACCCTAGGTCTCCACGGTTTGCTTGCAGGTCTGATTGTGGTTGCAGGTGGAGGCAAGCAGCGACACGATTAGTGGTGGAGAAGAGTGGCGATTCGCGATCTACAACAGCTGGCGATTTGGTTGGTGGTTAGTGGTTGACGATTCTGTGGTGGAGATTGAACGGCAATGCTGCTGGCGCGACGACGATTTGGCTGGTGCGGGGTGAAAATGTTGAAGATTGGTGGTCGCGGCATAGCAAGGGATCGTGTTGGGTGGTGGCGCGAGAATGAAGGTGAGATGCGTAGGTGGTGGAGGTGCAACAGAAGGGAGAAGACACTTTGGTGGTGGTGCGTGATGTGTTGGAGAGGATGGCTGCCGGTGAGGATGGCAGTGACGGCGCTGGATGGTGCGGCGGCTAAGGTTTCTTGGAGAAAAATTAGGATTTGTCTGGAGATGGTGATGATGATGTGACATTTGGACCGTTATGTTTTTAACCTTAACTGCGTGAGCGGAAAGGACCGGATTGAACATTTTTTAGGGGTTTGAACTTTTTTAAAAGGTAAGATTACTTTGAACCAAACCCCTAAAAGTAGGGACCAAATAATGTATTTAACCTAAAAACTATAAGCATGTCATATACAAACAAACTTATACAACATGTTTTGGAATGAAGATTCACAAGGTCAAAAACGAAAGATATATATTTGCATCGCATTTGCTTATTTAGTTCATGGAGGATGTTTGTGGAGGAATTAATTTTTTTAAATAAGAAAATGATAGTTTTGATGATGTTTGTGGAGGATGAAAAAAAAAGTTTCAAAAATAAATTTTCGTTCTTCCAAAAAATTGAAAAAGTGGGCCAACGTAGTCCACTTTTTGCTAACTGCAGACATAAACGAGTCAAGTTGTTTTGCATTGCTATTCTTAATTACTGTATCGGTTATAACTAAATCTAGTATAGAAAATATTATCTTATTTATAATTCTGTCATTGTTATTACATTTAATTATAATATATTTATTTTCTAAATTTTATATGTATTTATAAATAAATTTTAACATCCAATAATAGGTTTAAAAATCCACAATTTTACTATTATTTTCTCGCTTCTTTGTCATTAACCTTCTTTAATTTATTCCAATTTAAGACAATATTTCACTAATTGTCATTATTGTTTGAACAAGTTATTCTTGTTATGATGTCATTATTTTTTTTTTAAAATATGAACAAAGTTTAAATATTTTATAAATTTTATTAATATTTTATTTTCTCAATCTGTATTTCTATGGATAAGGATTAAGCCTTGAATTCTTTTTCTTTAGAATATTGTCACATAATAAAGAAATGTAACAAATAATTATTGAAACTAACAAACAAAAAGTTATACGTATTATAAAGCGATTAGACACGACTTGATTTATTCAAAATATGTAAACCTTTGTCCAAAACACACACACACACACACTATATATATATATATATATATATATATATATATATATATATATATATATATATATATATATATATATATATATATATAATTTCATTTTGAATAAATTGAATTCGGAAAATTGATTGGAATTAGAAAATACCGTGAAACTAAAAAGAAAATTGCGGACGGTTCATAAAAAAGTCCTAGCATGAATAGAGAACATGAAACTCATATTTTTATGAAATATAAATCTGAGTCTTATTATGTGGATTAAAATTTGATGACTATTTTATAAACAAATAAAAAATAGGTGTGATAATATAAAATGACACGAAAACAGTTGATTGAAAAGAGAGGGTAACAGTGACATTGCAAATAGATTCTGAGTATTACAAATATTTGAGGCATTGATGCATAGAAGATGTTTGACAAAATGAATGATAAGGAATCACACACCTCACAAACCCATTTGCGCATCTAACGGTAACTGTTTCAGTTTCCATCATGCAGACCCACCACACTGCATTATGCATTCTATTACCATTTATTGGAAAGATTTGACCTTTGGGTGTTCCAGGAAGATAATAAAAACTCAGGGTAACTTAACTTTGTTTATTATTAAACTATAAAAGCTTTGATTTTTTAACCATAAGATATTTTATGGATTAACCCTTTAACCGGAATATTTGTTTTCGTCGTTATCCTCTTCCCGCGTTGATCAGTCAAAAAGATAAACAAAGAAAGAAGTGAAAAGAAGTTTTGTCGTTTTGGGTTGACGTGTTTTGCAAATTCTGGAATCTAGAATTCAGATTGGTTCCTGACTAAGAAAGTGGGTGCTGACTGGAGCTATGAGCATGCATCATCATCACTTTTATTTAAAAATCATTAAAATAGAAATCTTTTTTCTTATATTTTTAAACAGCAAACAAACCTGATTGTTTTCTTAACTGGGTATGGTTGAAAAAATTAAATTTTCTGTTTCAGGTTTATTTAACTCAGTTTAGAGAATCTAGATTACGCAGAAGGAGAAAGGAGAAAGAAAGAAGGGAGAAGCAAAGTGAACTGTTACAAAGGATTTTAAAAGACATCCTCTGTTCTGATATAGGTTTAATATTCCAGAGTCTAGCTTCCTTTACATACAAAGAGACTGAGCTAGATTTTATTTATACTTTTACATATTTCTTTATACCCTGGACAAGCAAAATACAAAACAAGACATTATTAAATCAGTATATTCATCCCTGTTCCTCGTACTCTGCTGGGTGCAAGATTCTTCCCTCTGCATATTCATCAGATCAGATCTGTTGTTTGGGAATTCTTTTTCTGCTTTATTCTTCTTCATACCTATCTTTGTTTGTTTCAGTTTCACCAAAACTGCCAAAACATTATTTTTATTTATTATTGTTAATATTATTCTATATGTATGTGTAGAAAGAGGAGTACTAGGAAATTAATTCCACGCGCTTCTGCAATCCTCAATATGCCCACTCTTGTGGCAGAATCGTTTCATTCTGGATACTCGTTGCTGCTTTCTGTGACTGATGATTCTGAAGTGAATACATGCCATCCCTGTCACTCACTACAACATCTGCAAATTTTAATAAAACAATACAACATAAGATTCACCCAAACAAATCACAAATATAAGTATTATATTCATTGTTTATAACAAAAGAAAATCAATAACTGGGACAGAGTGCAACTTGCTGGCTGTGAGAATGGACTTTTGGAGACTGCTCTTGCTTCAAAATTCAAAATTGTACCACTCATTCCGTCCTTCCCATGTTATTAATCAGTTCGCCACTATTATTATTTCGTGTTGGATAACATTTTGTATATACTTTATTTCACTCCATAAAATAAAATAATGTAAGATACAAATAGAAGGTTGTTGAAAGTTGAGTACCATGAAGAGGATGAAAGGCACCAGCTTTGGGCCCAGACGTGGCAGCCATTTGGTCGAAGTGGAGTTGCAGAGCCTGGACAACTCTGGCAGGTATAAGAACTGTGGAACAACCTTTGCCTGACACATTGCACATAATATAAATCATTTTCAACGTACGACGTGCAACCAATTCATCTTGCTTCATCACATTAAAGTTTATCACGGATTTGTCAACGTTAAGAAATCAGAATCCCTGAATTCGGTCACCAACTCTCTTAACTGTTTCTTTTTAAGTAAAAATAAAATTGAAAAACTCAACATAAATTTAGTGAAAGCCCAAGATAGTGTCTTAAAATAATAAAATTTAAACACTGTTAGCTTTTAACAAAGATAATTATTATGTGTGTTTGTTGTCTCTTTTTCACATTCCTAACCACTAGTGCCATCAAATCACTGGAAAGAAATGTGAGGGCATTTGAAAAGGGTGTGTTATATTTTCATGGTTTTGACAAGAGGAAAAAATCACGGATCCAGAAGGATGGAGCAGGTGCAGCATGTGATGATGGATGATCACAGAAGATTCGTATTAAAATTCAAACACCATAAAAAAGAATAATAGTCAACATCAGCTAAGGTTCACAAGCAAAGTGGGAGGTTGGAGACTAAACTAAAGGTACTTTTTTTATTCAATATTATTGGTGGGGGACGAGACCAGACAGCGGATTCATAGAACTTTGGAACAGAGGAAGAGGAAAAGGAAAAAAAAAAAACATATAGTAGCAGCGAAATGATACAAGGCAAGACGTGACATACAAAAAAAAAAACAGTACTAAAGCAACTTACAACAAGTGGCATGGTTCTTTCGATTTCAGAATTTCACTGACCAACAGCTTAAACAGCAAGGAAACAAACATGACAGCAAGAAAAACAGTGCGAAATAAGCAAATTATTAAATCCACAGGACGAAAACTATGCAAGTTTTTACCTTGCTTGTTAGTAGATTCGGACGGGGTAGGGGCTCCTGCACGCAGCAAGAAAACGCCGGTCCCACCCCTAGAACCGGGCCCGTCAAGAAACAAGGCCCGCATGCCAGCACCGTGTTGTGGGCCTGGCCGCGGCGGGCGGGCCCTCCGTACGTTTCCTTTCTTGGGCTCGTATGTCTGTCCTAGGTTTTTCCGATGCGGAGCGGGTGTCTGTTTGGGGGACACGGCTACCTGGTCTTGCTTCACCCCTGACAGCTGTTAACACAAAAAAAAAACACAAAAAACTCAATTAATTACTTAAACAGTTTGAATTAAAGCTAATAGTATTCATTAGTCTGGTCTTACTTACTTCAATGGCTCGAATCTGTTCCTGAACGAGAGATTGATGAGAATAGAGTCCAATATTGAAGCTTTGAAGCTTCCCAAACATGTCGTAGCCGCTCTTCCATGAACGCTCTTCAGGGGCGGCAGAGGGTGATGGTTCCTGAGAGCAACCTTCTGCACTTTCATGTATGGAGTCTCGTGACTTGACCCAAGAAGAAAAAGAAAAAGTTACTGTTATTATTGTTGTTGTTGGTATCAATCAAACGGAAGTGTGGTTAAATAGAATAGTACCGAATGGAGAGTGTCGTCGTCGGAAAGCAAGAAGCAAGCCATGCGGTGAGTTAACTCGGCGACGAAATCGTGGTGGTTGTCGTCGGGGAGAGAGTGAAGAGGCATGGTGGGGTTTGGAAGATGAAGAAGAAGAAGAAGAAGAAGAATGAGAGAAAGAGAAGAAGAGAAAGGGATTTAAATGAAAGCAGAAGAAAAGAAAAAAAGTTGATGATGAATGGGAGAAGAAGAGAGGGTGGGCCCAGTGCTTGCGATGGGAGGGTTTTTATGCGCAGAGTTCGGTTAAGTAGTTGGACCATACACTGTCATTTACCTATTTCTACAACTCAACTGCCATTTGTTGGACTCAGTATAAGTTCCTCCCAAAACATTCTAACTGCTCTGACACTCTTCAATCTCTCTAATCAAAACCATCAATTTCTTCATATGTCTGGTTTCATTACATAATGTTTAAATAATATTACTAATCTTAACAATAAAATTAATAAAGTGATTACTACACTTAATTTATACATTAAAATCTTAACATTAATGGCTGCAGACGAATTTTCCTAGCAGTTGTGAATATCCAAAACGTGATTCTGGTCAGCTAACAAGTTTGGTTTTGTTTTGTTTTGTGTGCTAATTGATGTGGAAGCTAAACTAATGTGTGATCCTTCTGTTACTATTCTGTACTGATCAAATCACACATGCAAGCTATTAATGAGCTCAAATAATGTCTGTGTATTTCTATTAGTTAGCTACTAAATTTGGTGTTCCCTGCGAAAGTCAAAAAGCCAATCAATGATTGATGTTGACCGAATTAAGAACAGACTTTGAATCAATGATGAGAGAGGGATAAAGGGTATTGCAAAAACAATTCCATAAAGATAATTTCCTGCTAAGACTGGTTGTATTTGTATTGAATGTTGTTAGACAAAAAGAAGAAGAAAAACTTTGTTTTGAAGTTATTTAGTGATATTTGTTCTTGTCACAGTCTGGACAGCTAACGATGAAAATCTTAAGATTACATATGAGATTGACATCATCGTGGCACAGTTGCATACTTTCTGGTGTGGGAAAATCACAGATGATGTAAGAATTAATATATGGGAGGGTAGCAGAAATGGTATGATCAGAGTAGGTAAATATAGAGTGTAAAATGGGTTAGTTTGGAGGATGATAACATTAGAATAGGGCAGAGAGCATGAGTCACACCTACTACTCCAGTTATTGATAAGTTGAGCTGACCAGACTCAGGTCTATTTATGCACTTGGAAATGTTCCTCACGCTTTTTCATTAGTCCAATTATACACTCTACTCATGAATCACATACTGATGTGATCATATAACATACGCAGACCACAAATATATCATAAATAAAAGATTATTTTAAATAAAGCCAATTAAAAAAGTTTATTAAGTCAAAAAAATGATAAAAAAAAAGTAGCTGCTCTCTAATTTTAGGTAATTCAAGAGTTAGTAAGAATGACGTTTAAGTTAGTACAAAGAATGGTCGAGTGTGTTCAATAGTAAACACTTTGATGCAAAATAAATAAATAAATAGAATGTTCCATCTTTCTTAACTAATATTATCTTACGAATCTAAATAAGAATTTGAATAAAAATAAGAGAAAGAAAAATTATAAAGTTTCACGTGTATGCATATGAATATATGAAAGAAAGTTGTGTAACTTGAGATTAACATATGGAACCTTAATTTATTTCAGATATGAATAAAATTTCATCACCTTGTATTGTATCTTCCCATGTTCCATTTCTCATGGCATATACATGAATTGCGCTAAGATAAAAAAAATGTGTCAAAGCCATTGATAACCTCACTCATTAATAAGTGTTTATAATATATAATTAAGCTATTATTATTATTATTTTGGTAAAAAAATAAAAATTAAAACTGGTTTGCTGGAGCTACTTTTTCATAAAGCAACAGTGCTATTGAAGCAAGCTTAATGATATTCATGACTTGCTAAAGTATTAGAAGTCCATAACCTCATTGTGCTGAGGCCTAGGCAGCATGTGATAGGTTTCTTGGTTTCTACTTTCTTGTCCCCTATGTTCGTGCTTTAAAGTAATCATGCTAATATTGTCTCTTTCTCATCTAATACTAAACGTTCCTTTCCTGAAATCAAATGTCCATGACAAAGGATCGAAGTTCTATATTCAGTTTTCAATATTTCTGTTACGTTGTGGTAATCCTTTCCATATGCTCTATAATCTTATCTCTGTCTTGGAGCCACTGTTGCAGCCAGTGTCATTCACCATACCAAGCACTTGTACAAAAGCAAAACCTACCAATCAACCTCCTTTCATATCCCTTTGCATGGAACCATCTTGTGTTCTCCTCAGAGCCACCTTCAAAGCTTCTTAAGATTGCACTTTTTGTCAGGAAATGGCCACACAAGTCTCGTGCAGGTGGGCTTGAACGCCACGCCCTCACACTCCATCTCGGTCTTGCTAAAAGAGGCCATGATCTTCACGTATTCACCACTTACACAGACTCTTCTTCGACCAACTATTCCTTCAACAACTTACACTTTCACTTCTCCAAACCATCACCTGCTGGTTACCTCGACCAAGCTTCGGTTTGGGAGCAGTTTCAAGCAGAAAACTCATCTGGTAAACCATTTGACGTTGTTCACACGGAGAGTGTTGGACTTAGGCACACAAGATCTCGATATGTTAGTAATTTGGCCGTCACTTGGCATGGGATTGCATACGAGACATTTCATTCTGATATCATTCAAGAACTCCTTAGAACACCCCAGGAACCTCAGACAAAGGCTTTGACTGAAAGACCTGTAAAGGTCGTTGAAGAGGTCAAGTTCTTCCCAAATTATGCTCATCACGTTGCCACCAGTGATCATGCAGGTGATATCCTAAAGAGGGTCTATATGATTCCGGAAGAAAGGGTCCATATTATTCTAAATGGCGTGGACGAACAGGTTTTCAGATCAGATGTTTCCAAGGGAAATGAATTCAAGAAGAGGCACGGAATTCCGGGTACAAAGTCATTAGTGATAGGACTGGCTGGGAGGTTAGTCAAGGACAAGGGGCACCCTTTGATGTTTGAAGCTTTGAAGCAGATAATTGCAGAAAACAGCAGTTTCCAAGAGAGTAGCATGGTTGTGGTTGCAGGAGATGGTCCTTGGGGTGCAAGATACAGAGATCTTGGGGCAAATATGTTGGTTCTGGGACCCTTGGAACAAGCTGAATTGGCATGTTTCTATAATGCTATTGACATTTTTGTAAACCCCACTTTAAGAGCACAAGGTTTGGATCACACTTTGCTAGAAGCCATGCTAAGTGGGAAGCCAGTGATGGCTACTAGGCTTGCAAGCATTGCAGGGTCTGTAGTTGTAGGCAATGAAATGGGTTACACATTTTCACCAACGGTGAGTGATCTGAAGAGGGCTATATATGAGTTATGGATTAGTGGAAGAGATGTTCTGAACAAGAAAGGTCAGGTTGCGATGCAAAGAGGTTTGCAACTGTTCACTGCAACAAAGATGGTGGCCGCTTATGAGAGACTCTTTCTTTGCATATCAGGTTCAATGCATGAGAACCATTTCTGTGAATACCAACCATGAGGTTAGTAAATTAGTATCAGAATATTGGAGAGAAAAAAACAAAAGGAGAAGCTTGTTGCTACTGACGAGTGTTTTTGTGAAGTCAAACAAATTAATCATTAAGTACTAAGCTACCACCGTCCTCGCACATGCTTACATGATATCTTAATTCTTAAGGCAGTTTCATAGTTAAGCCTAGGCGACAAGCTTTTCCTTAGGTCACAAGCAACTACTACAACGAAAGTCTACTACCTTTCGTAATGCTGATCCTTGCACGGTACCCTATCTAAGCACATTACCACAGCTTTTGAAACACCACGCTATCATGCATCGAAAATCTTATGCAATCTATTCACCCTCATTTCTGTTTTAAGAACTTCAAATTATATGAGCCGTGCAAAAATTAATTTTTTTTATAAATTCTGATTGATGAATGTGATCGGAATGTACTTTATACTATTAGTACTTATTAATATGTATTTTTTAAGTTCTGAAAAATCGACAATTTATTCTAGGTCCCAACCCAAGACGTTCAGAGAATTGACCGCGTTCCTGGTTCATTTGTTTAGATTTTGATTAAATGATTTTAACAGATGGTAAAAATAGGTTTAATGTCTCAATAGGTCCCTATTTTTGTTCAGAATTTGAAATAAATCCCTTTATTTTGACGTATTAATTGGGTTCTTATTTTTGTTAATTTGATGCAAATAATTCCTTTCCGTCAATTTCATCAAACGGCGTTAATGAATGTGTGACGTGGCCTTACACGTGTCAATACTGTTCTCAGGCCACGTCACACATTCATTAACGCCGTTTGACCTATTGAGACATTAAACCGTAAAAAAATGAGTCTTTGAGAATAATGTTTTAAAAAGTAATAAATATATTTTCTGGTAATTTTAGTTAGTGATTAACTGATTACAAAATATCAGTAATAAAATCTCATTTATTTCAAAATTAATTCTCATCGATGCAATTTTGATTTTTTTACGATAAAAGAACTAAGTTACTGCTTGAAAAAGAAATGTCCATTGCAATTGAGGTTTTGTTTTCAGTCAAAGAGACTGTCGCTATCATATAAAGCTGGCCTTCTTTCTGTCGTACTAAAGAAATCCAAGTGGCTGGTGAATGACGCTTAACTTATGGGACACAGCAGGAGGCATTGGATAAATATTAGCTAACAGAGCAAAGTAGAGGGAAATAAAAACATGGAATGAAGGAAAATGTCATTTTTTTTTACATGAAATTGGTACAGGAAAAAAGGAAATTAGAAAATAGTGAAATTGTTTTTAATTTTACCATTTAAAACTTAAGGAAAAAAATTAAAAATAAGACAACATTTTATAATTCTAAATAAAGGAAATAGAATTTTTATTTTCTACCCACAGTCCCGTTAAACTCTGTTTTTTCAACTCTCTCATATCCATTTCACGTTCAATCATACCTCAGAACTGAGCGAATTTCGTTTGCTTGTTTGAATAACAATGTCTACACTGTTGTAATTGTAATGGCCTTTAAAACAGCATTTTGATGTTAGTAAATTTTTAACAAGTTGATTTATACAGCAACATCAACAGACGGCATCTTAGAGCCACTCGTACATCAGAGTGATGAAAACTTAGTCTAACAATAAGTAAATTATACAAATTACATATGTACTTAGTTCCATAAAAGACAGTTCCAAATGGCAATTATAATACGTTCTTTGAAATCCTAACCAAGTAATAATTCCATCTGCATGAACAAAAACAGCAAAAATCAACATGACAAAAAATACTACTATTATTTGTTAGACTCCAGGAGAATAATATAGGCTTACGATGAGGACGAAGAACTATCACCTTGGGGAAGTAAAATGCTTATGTATGGAGGTAATTGGCAGCCATCATTAGCTCTAGAGTTAACTCAGGTTCAATGGGAAATTCCGTTTCCTTCCCACTAGTAAGAGCAACATCTCAAGTCAATAATACAGCTATTTTCATAGACATTAGCACGAGATAAAATGAGAGATTTCGGATCAAAGTTTCCCAAAGTAATATAATACTTGCAAAACAAAAACTATCAATCATACTCATCCGATCACAGCAATCTACTGATATTTTACTAAATGAGTGGACAACCACTTAAATTGGTAAAACTATGTAATAATATTTTAAAATTGCACAGTAATTTCAAAATTATAAATAATGCATGACTATTTTAAAATATAGAAAAGCGACAATATACTAGTTCAACGATCAATGACATTGTTTCACCCTTGGATAAACTATAATTAATTTGCATCTTTAGTCTCCCACAAAGTGTGAATTTTGGTTCTTCAATTATTTTTAACTCAAGTGTAGTTCAACTTGTAGTTGTTATAATCAATTCGTTCCACTATTTCTTCTTTTCATAAAACACTCAAAAAAGGTACACAATACGGAGGTCATCCTCCCCCGGAGCCTTCTTTGAAGTAAATATTTAAACCATTTATAAAAAAATTGGATGTGAGTGAATATGCAGCTATACTACACACAAAATGGGAACTCAGAATTGAGCAAAGATTGATATGCATGATGGAAGAAGGTAACATAATAAAAGAATTTTGTACACTGTAAAGCTTATAATCCAGGATTACTTCATAGAATCAAATAATTCAACTAACTATAGTCACCTTCCTCACAGTTCTGAATGATCCAAACTTTTGTGCTGACACAAAACTACCTCATAATGATATGCACAAATCAAAATTGAACGGAATGTGTATTGTTTATGCACAGACAAACTAGCAAAATGGTTATTAAACATGCTAAATACTAGATCTTTATGTCACAATTTACACGATTTCATCAAGGCGCTGTCATTACGCTGCACTTCAGTACTCAGGAAAATTCTTTTTCTCTGAGAACCAAAAACTAAAAAAAATGATCCGCAAAGTCAAACACTATGGATCTATTTTGTAGCTAATTGGCAGTAAGTAGAACTCGGCAGACCCATTACCCACTCCGTTGTTGGGAGGAAATTCAATAACATCACTATTGCATGTCAAGGTAATAGGTTGCTCCCAATACAACCTACCATGAATTGTGAATAACTGAAAATACACTTAAGGCTTTTGATACACCAAAATTCATATTCATTACACACTTAAATGACTGGTAAAAAACGAAAGAAACATCATATTAAATGACTAGTAAAAAACGAAAGAAAAATCATATTAAATGACTAGTAAAAAACGAAAGAAACATCGTATTCGGCAATGTTGCAACAGCGAAGAGAGAAAAAGGAAAACCTGGCAAATTGTAGATGCCAATAAAAGTACTGGCAAATCTTCTCCAGAATGGTGGTACTAATCTCGGGAAAGGTAACTTCGCCGTGCTGCCTCTCAGAGAAACTCCCTGTGAAAGAAACGATCATTATGTGTATAATGAAATTTGGAACCCTAATTGCGGTGAAAAGGGGCAATTTAATAAAACATAATATCAAACCTGGAGAAGTAAGCATGTTATGTATGGTCTGTGAAACCATTGCAGCTTCTTTGTCGACCACAAATTCAAAACCCTCCGCGCTGATCAGTTTTACCGTGTCTTCCTTCTTCATCTTCTGATTCTCGCCTCCTTCACCTTGCGTTTAACTACAATCGATTATGGCCGGAACGTCAGAGTTCGCATTTTCAAACTCAAGTTTTATGGGAGGAAGGGCTTTGATCCCGGCCTTTTTGGACGGGCCTGATTTTTGGACTTTAATTACTGACTAAAGCCCAACTATGTAGTTTACTTCAAATACAAAAATCTGAAAATATTTTTGTCCTTGAAAATAACTTTTGAAAACAAAATAATATTATGAAATGTAAAGATGGGGTTTCAAAAAGTACTCAGTTAAACATTTTTCTAGTTTTTAACATGTTAGAATGTATTGTTTTTTTTATAAAATACTGTTTTTTTAGGTTCCAAAAGTATTTTTTAAACACGTCGTACTTTTTTACTTTCTAAGAAGTATTTTCTATAACAAGAAACGAAAAAAAAAAAGAGTAAATCTGAATTTTTTAAAATAAACGAATTAAAAAACATAACTAATTCCTAATTGTATAATATAATAATAATAGTCTAAATATATTTTATGTTTCAATTAGTTGAATGATATTAATTTATTAAAACATATTTCTTAATTTTGACATGAATAAAATATAATTGAAAAATAAACTTTCATCCTGTCTGAGCCCGGGTTCGAACCGGGGACCTCTAGTGTGTGAGACTAGCGTGATAACCAACTACACCACCCAGACACAATTGATGATCAAATAACATAAAGCTTAATTGTAACAGAAAAAAGTAAAATTATAAAACTACTCGCGTCTCGGCGAAGAGGCAGACGAACATTCCGTCCCCATTCCATCGGTAACAATGGAGGCGCGTCATGCATCTCTTGGTCGACGAACGGTACATTCCTAGCAACCTATCTCCATTTCTCCACTTCTCTTTTCGTTTTTTTCTGTATTCGATCGTTGTTCATTTATCATCGTGGTTATTGTTGTTGTTGAATCGGATAATTAATCGCATCCACAGTTGGAGGAAATTCGCCAAAAGAGAGCGGCAGAGAGATTGAGCAAAACCTCTTCGGGAGCAGATTTAACCAAGGTTCCCAGCACCTCCGGTCAGAATTTTCCTCCAATATTATGAATCTCTTGTACATATATATTTTTGTTTTATTATTACTTCATTTCTATGTGCGTTTTTCTTTTTTGCAATTCGAATCTAATTTTACTTTCCTTCAGAGCTTGCGAACAAGGCCGAGAGCGGTAATAGGCTCTCTGAGGTAAAATCTTTGTTGCATTATTAATCATGTCGTTCATTATATTGTCTATGGATCAACGATTAATCTCCATCTATACGAATTAATTTTTTAGGGACGCAAGTTTTCTGAATTTCAACTGCATTGATTTTGCGCGTATTCTCTTTTCACAGACAGATTTTAGTGCTTTATTGTCTCAACTGAAAGGTCTGCAAAACAAGAACACCGAGTTGGAGGAAGAAAACAGGAAAATAACTTTGAAGGTGAAGATTCAATCTGAATGCACACGTGCTGTTTATTTCTTTATTTGTAAGTCTATTCAAGAAAAAGAACAGCATGGGCTGATTGTATTTTTGTCTATTATCGCAGCTTCAGACGATGGAAACTGATAATGGTGCAATGCGCAAGCAGTTGAATGATCTGGTAATCTAAAAGGACGTGATGATGAATTCTTTTTTAGTTTGAGTTACAATTTTGTTAATGAAGAAGAATATATTGCCTCTCGAACGCATGAACCCCGAGTTAGCAAGAACATAGTTTAGAGCTAATTACTACAGCACTTCATGGATGAGGATTGGTATTGGAATAGTTTTAAAATTTATGTACCCTAGTTTTAAATCTCACTCGGATTCATGCAGGAGCAAAACACAGTGCCATCTCTACGTAAGGCTCTGAAAGATGTTGCAATGGAAAAAGATGCCGCAGTTGTTGCACGGGTAACTATATTCAAACCTTTATTCATTCCTTCTGGACTGCTTCACCTTGTTTTTAATCTTCCACAATTCCGATTAAACTTTACATATTAGTGCAGGAGGACCTTTCAGCACAGCTTCGTACCCTGAAAAAACGTCTTAAGGAAGCTGAAGATGAGCAATATCGTGTATGCGACTTGATTTTACAAAAAACATTTTGATGAAGAACCGTTTTTTTTCTTACTTAGAATGTGATTGACTATATTGGTCTAGGCTGAGGAAGATGCAGCAGCATTAAGAGCAGAATTGAACTTAATTCAGCAGCAATCAATGACTAATACAGTTAGCACAATTCCATCATTTGGTAATCCACCAGATCATTTTCAAATTCAAAGATTACAAAAGGAGCTAGATGATTTAAAACTGGAACTGCAGGTGGTGTTATGATTATGTCATTGGCATTTTCGAATGTTTTCTTTAATTTCTTTTCCTTTTGTCTGATGGTGATTAAAATTTATAGCGAGAATCACTGTTGAGGCACCAGGAGCAGGAACAATTAGCAAAAGAGCAGGCCCGCAGTGCCTCATTGATGTCTCAAAATGAGGAGTTGGAAGAGAAACTTAAGTCAATACCTATAGTGGCTCCAGGTTCTGCCAATGAAAACTTTTGCATAATTTATATTAACTTTGTATTGGCTGAATGAAACTTAGCATGCCAACAATCCATTATATAATCAGTTTCACTTCTTTGATGCTTTATGGCTTCCTAGTATCCTAATTCTTAATGGCGTATGCATGAATTCAAGCTCTTCAAAATTGCAGATGGTGGAAGCATTTTTCTTTTAACTATTTGTTGATTATTACTAGCATCTGCCCATCTATTTATGCCACAAACTTTTTATAGTACTTTTGAGTGGCTATTTTTTAGCAATGATGTTTATGGACTCTGTTCAACTTCAATACCAGTTCACATACATTTAACCTGATACGTCATCTTGTTGAATTGGTGTACTTTAACATGGCATTGACCTTGATATGTATATTTTGCAGAAGTCTCAGATCCAGCTGCTCCCAAAGCATTTTCTTTGGTGAGAAAAACTTCTTTATTATTTATTCAGTGAATTTTCAATTTTTCTATCTGTTAGCTTATCAAATTACTGAAAATAAATTTAAGTTACTATTTCATTCAAACCATTGACCAGTTATTAGCAAAATTACTAGTATCTGTGTTGACTGTTGTCTAGTTAAAGTTATGCATGATTTATAATATGGAAAATAGGAGGTGAGTGATGAAAAGGGAGCTTTGGACTTTTACTTGTATCTTCGTGGGGAGAGCAGAAATCAGTTCCATTTCTTCTAAGTATAGAAGTAATGGCCAAAATATGCTTGACATGGCTGTTTTGGCAGTTGATGATGAATGACCTAAACTGTTAACCCCAACCCCATTTTGCAAACCAATGTATTTGTTGTCTGATAATCATCCAGCCTTTTTACTGATGTCTAATTTGCTTTGGTTTAATTTTGTCTGAATTTAATAAATCTCAGGAAGACAAGCAGAAACTTGATATCCGGTTGCATGATATGGCTTTAGCTATTGAAAGACTGGAAAGTAGTAGGCAGAAACTTCTAATGGAGGTGAAGTCTCTTTATCTAAATTTTGATGTATACGTTCTCTTACTAAAAGAAAATCACCATTGCTTTGTAAATGGCATCTCATGGAGTGATTGATTTATCATCTTGACGGCAGATTGACTCACAATCTACAGAAATTGAGAGGCTTTTTGAGGAAAATTCCAACCTTTCAAATTCATACCAAGAGGCAATTCAAGCATCTATGAGATGGGAAAACCAGGTAACAATCAGCATCAGGGATTTGAGCAAATATAATTTATGTTTACTAATCTAGTTTGATCATGTAAGGTCTTGGCTGTACGACCATTATTTACAGGATTTTTTTTTCTAAAATTTTCAAAATCAGGAATCTGTAGATCTTTAGAGTTTTGACTAATGAAATTCGGTTAATAAATTTTGATGACGAATTTGTGCTCTGGTGGAGAAATTTGGTACAAAGGTTCTGTATTACTGAAATCTGTGTTAAATGTTTTGCTAGTTATTGATATGCCAGGGCTGAATAATTTTATTTGTTGTGCAAAATCTTGGTTTACTTGACAATATATACAAAACCTCCTTTTGCTTTTATATATATATATATATATATATATATATATATATATATATATATATATATATATATATATATATATATATATATATATATATATATATATATATATATATATATATATAAATATATATATATATATATAAATATATATATATATAAATATATATATATATACATATATATATATATATACATATATATATATGTTAGAAATCTCATATTGACTAATAATAAGATCAATTCACAATATATAAGTGAGTGCAAACCTCACCTTACAAGGCTGATTTTGTAGGTTGAGTTAGGCTTAAAGTCCATTTCTTAATATGATATCAAAGTCATCAAGTCTATTGTTCCACTTGTTATCGAGTTGTTATCGGAGTATCCATTAATATTCAGTTCCACGAATGAAATGTATATACCTCAACATGAGAGGATGCATTGGAAGTTCCACATCAACTAGTGATAAGGTCAATCCACAATATATAAGTGGGTGCAAACTTTACCTTACAAGTCGGTTTGTGGGTTGATATAGACTTAAAATCTATTATATATATATATAATTGTTATTTATGGGAAAGTAATTTCATTTTTATAGGATTGAATCTTTGTTTTAATTCCCTATAAATGTGACTTGACTTGGTTTTAATCCTAATAAATGCCAACAATTAATCTTTACAAAACTATTTATTTTAAAATGGTTCCCATCACTATTTATTGCTGTCATGACATTAGAATGTTTGCAAGTCTGACATGACTAGATGTATGATACATCACTTGTAAATTTTAATAGGATGAAAATCAGTAAAAGAATTGGAGGACTATTATCAATTAGTCATATTTAGAGAGATTAAAAAATGCTTAAATGAACATTGAGATTACATTCATCTATTGATATATCTGAGTTGACTTTTGTTTTTATTTAGAAGTTTTCATTATAATCTTATGAACAAACATGATAGTGTTCCAGACCAAGAAAGTGTTATCATCACCTGTATTGACCTATGATGATTCTTCAGGTGATGGAGTGTCTTAAGCAAAATGAAGAGCTTCGTGGGATTCTAAATAATTTGAGAAACGAACAGGCTAGGGGCTTGCCAGACTCTTCTAAAAACGGAGCACATGAGATTCCTTCCTTGGGATCAACAGAAGAGATGACATCTATGAAGGTTAGTTACACTGTGCGCATGACATATTTTGTCCCTCTTTGTTGTCAATTCATGTCATTGACTTGTTGGATCAAATCTTATTGGTCAAATGTTCGCTTGTAAAATGAGATGCATCCAATTTTTCTGATTTTTCTTCTGAGAACTTTCCAGGGGATTTGATTGAGGTCTGTATGTTCTCTACACTTTTTAAAATTGGTGTTCATGCCTTCAAAAATTTGCATATTTTTGTTTGCTTGGCAGGGCCAACTTGTGAAGGAACAGAGGAGAGCAGAGGCACTCTCGGCAGAAGTCATGCAGCTTTCTGCTCAACTCGAACAATTCAAGCAAGCATATGACGGTCTTACACGATTGTAAGATTCTCTCTCTTTCTGTATTTTTCTGGTGATATCGAAAGCCACGCATTCATTCATTCTAGCCTTTGATTTCTTACATTGTCCATTTATATGAAAAACTACACTGCAGCTATAGGCCAGTGCTGCGCAACATTGAAAGCAATCTCATAAAAATGAAGCAAGACACCTCTTTGGCTGTACAATGATGGCTATGAGCAGTTGCATGATGATATTTCGGTTGTGAATGTAAAGCCCTTGTTGGAAGACATGATTTTGCAATGTCCACAGAATTATTTTTTACCATTTGTTTCAAGGCATTATGAATTTATGGGGATGGGTGTGGGATAGAGGGCATCAAACCCATCTCCTCATAATAGAGAAAGCCACATCCTTATATTATATTTTACCAATTTATCCCTGACTTTTAATAAATGATGTGTTTGCCATTATATTCTCATTTACATATTTGAATTGAAAAATATATTAAACACTTCAATTTATAAATTAAACTAGGATACACACAAAGTTTAACTATTTTTCATATTTAAAATTCTGGACATTTTTATATTTTTAATGGATTACTTTTATTAAAATATTTCTATAAATGTCTTGTAACATTATGAATAATTAATAATAATAATAACCTTAATGATAATAATAATAATAATAATAATAATAATAATATTTATATTTATATTTATATTTATATAACATTTATTTTTAAAAATAAAATAATAATAATTATTAAATTTTATTCATTAAATCATATTTTTAATCTATAGACTGAACGTGTCTGGTGATAAAGGTATTATTTGATAGAGGATAATAACATACCCTCCTTAATCTAGTGATGAATAAGTTTTAAATCTTTAATAAAATGTCTGAATTTTCTTTTGAAAACAATTACTTTTTTAAGTGGATTACCTGTTAAATCATGAAAATTTTTATTGAAGTATTTAAAATGATTTCTAAGACCATGCATAAAGCAAGAATGAAATTTTTTTTCTTTTTTTCTTTTCTCATATATTTTTTCCAAGAAGTCAAAACACCATTAACTTCTATCTCAATATTTTTTTATTAATAAATATTTATATGGACATGAGATTACGATATCTCATTCCTTTTAAGCATGCTAAAGCTTCATTATTATCCAACAAAACACTACTCAAAATATTATATATCATATTTTATGTTGCAGTGCAATTCAGATTTTGAGTTATTCCATTTATCTATATTAGACTTTACATGTTTCTGTGGATCTTTCTAATAGTAACTCTTTCCTCATTTACATATCACTATTGCATTTTCCTTCATACATCTGTATATATCTAACTCAACCTGCATACAAATGTTAATATCCCTGCACATTTATGCACAATTAACCCATACTAAATGTTAAGATTTATGCACAATTTATCCATACTATATAAAAAGACTATACAAAAATTTTCAAAGCAAAATTGTCCATATTAAAGAGATAAGCATTACTGGTAAAGATGAAAGATAAGCATACAAGCGTTTTTTCATCCCTGGACTGTTAAGTTCTCAAGATAATATGTAATGAATTGGGAATTTTGGTAAATTGATACACTCTTCGTGCAAGGATAAGGTTGTTCTCTCTTCATGTTGATAGTCTCAATAAATGTTCTTTAATTTTATTTTGAAGTTCAGATATTTAGACAGTTGAAAAAAAAAACACAAATATTAGAAATTCATGTTGTGGACGTAATTGTTGGAAATCATGATCTTCTATCAAGAGTCACGTTACTCTCGTCCGCCTCCCAACTCAAAAAATCATAAAACTAATTTATTTATGAATAGAGGTCCAACCTTCAATCATATTTGACTTTACAAAATTACAGCGAAAGAAGGTTTGAATTTTAAGAATAAAAAACTATGTATGAACAAATTAGAAATTTGATGATAGGAAAAGTTTGTTATGGTGAACCGCGTAAATCTCATCCATACAATTGAATTTTTTTTCATAATAAATTAATAATTAAATTTAATTTTTAATATTAACGGTGAGATTTACAACTTGACTGTGTGCAGTTTGTCTTAAAAAAGCAGCGGATGGGAAGCAGTGTTGGAGCAACTGAAAGATAAAGAAGAAGCAGATATTGACACGTGTGGGCTGTGTTTTAAATCGGATGCAAACCTATTTATATTCCTCTCTTTATTCTTTCTGGTCCGTCACTTCTCACTCTACACTCTCATCTCACCACAAACCCTAGTCTGTAATTTCCCATGATTCCTCTCCGTCTCTTCCACTGAACTTTTCTCAAATCTCTCGTAGAAAGACAATTATCGAATACACTCAGGGGCTGTACTAAAGCGTTGGTGATGGCGGCTTCCACCAGCCAGGTCTACATCGATGTAATCGAGGATGTCATGGTCAAAGTCCGAGACGAGTTCGTCAATAACGGAGGTCCCGGCGAGGAAGTTGTCAGGGAACTTCAAGCTGTAATTAAATCTGTTTTCATACTTTCAGGATTTTCTTTTTAATTCCTATATTCAGTAAATAAATTGGATTAGTGATGTTTATACATCTATTTCAAAGGCCTATTGATGTAGCTTGGAAAAAAATTGTTCTGTCTCGGCTGGTTCGTGGATTTAGGGTTTGAATTGGATCGATTGCTTTCTTGATGTTATTTATTTAAGTATTTTATTATTATTATTAAAGTGTTAAATATGTTCGTCATTTTATTCTTTTGTTTGTAACTTGTTTAGATGTGGGAATCAAAGATGATGCAAGCTGGCGCTGTGCTGGGTCCCATAGAAAGGTCTACTGCGGCTAAGCCAACTCCCGGTGGTCCTATTACTCCTGTTCATGATCTTAATATGCCGTATGAGGGACCGTACGAGGGGACCGAGGAGTATGAGACTGAGACTCCTACTGCTGAAATGCTTTTTCCCCCTGTGAGTTTGATCCACATAGTAGTTATAAGTTCAATTAGTGATGTCTCTTTTTAATGTTCTTGAATGAGTTAAAATTATTGGATTGTCTCTATGCACCTTTGAATGTGCAGACGCCATTGCAAACGCCAATTCAGACCCCTTTACCTATGACTGGGGATAACTCAACTTATAACATTCCTACTGGACCAAATGACTATCCCTCATCTGGAAATGATAATGGAAATGCTGATGGGAAAGGAGGAAGACCTGCTCCATACATGGTAAAGCTCGTGGCCCCGTGCTATATCATATAAATACTTCAATTTATCATGTCAAATTACCTATTTTCATTTCTTTCATTGTTATCAATCTCAAACAGTGATAAGCATTTCCATTATTCTAAGATGCAAATTGAATAATTTATTCATAACATACACATTAATGCTAACGTATTTATAAAATTAATCAGAATTTATGGCATATTCATAATTAAATAAAAGGTCACATGTTTTAGCAATATGCAAGTAAGCAACAATTGAAGGCACGGAAACAAAAAGGTTTAAAAGACTTCAAATTTTAAATACAAATCATCCTAAAAAACAAAAGTGGTTGGTAATCAGAAAACAATGTCCAGTTAGATTAAAAATTAAACAGTGGATCTTAGAAAACTATAGACTGGGAGCATGGAAAATTGAATGAAAGACCTATCATTACAAACTTTCCGACAAACAATAAATAAAGGATCCACAATTTTATGATACAAGGGTTGGCTGGAACATCAGTGTCCTTCCAATAAATACATTTAAAATAAAAACAAATATGAGTATCCTAATAATGTATAGATACAATCTTAAAATTTTGGCTTTATAGTTTAACTCAACCCAATAAAAATGACTTGCAAGGTGAAGACTACCCAAGTTTAATAAGGACTTGATTAGCTATAGGTGGGAATAGGGTTCTGTTCCGCTTAAATAAAAATGGGGTGGAAATCTAATATTATCCCAGCAATATAGCTTCAAATGGCACCATTCTGTCACCAGGGAAATACTGGCATAGATAGTTGCGATTTCATCCCAAAGTAGCCATAATCTGCATTGCTACAACCACTGCAAAAAGACTAATCTGCAACAGGTTACACAGAAGTAGCTGGTGGCTGTGATGCAGTGTAGCACTATTATTGTGGTGCTATAGCTCACAATTGACTACTATGTGGGAACCAACATCAAAATAGGAATTTTTTAAATTCTTAAAGAAGGCGTGCAAACTTTCCCCTTTAGAAACACTGAAAATGATGCTGTTTTGGGGAAAAAAAAGGTATTCAAAATGATGCCCGCCTCTTTTGGACACAACTGTGGGCATTATTTAAAATGCAGTACTAATCAAACTTAGTAGTTGCTCTTCACTGCTATAACGTGCTACTTATAACCTTGTTTAAATTTCTTAAGTGACTAAACTATTCTGTTTAAATAATTTTCATGAGCTTTTTTAAGATGTACATTAATGTTGTCTTTATTAATTTCTACAGCAACCTACTTCTCCTTGGATGAACCCGAGGACCTCACTTGATGTCAATGTTGGTGAGTGTCAATTAAATTCAGGTTAAAGTGTTTAGTCAAAAAGCTTTGCAATTAATGGTGTGTATTACTGTAGCTTATGTGGAAGGGCGGGATGAGGCAGACAGAGGAACTTCTAATCAACCTCTGACACAGGTAAGTGAGCCAGTTTGGTCTGATAGAATAATGTTTTCTCTGTTGTCAAAATTTGAAGAGACCTCATCATGGTCGACTTACTTTGTAAAGTCTGCACATTGCGTTACTGTTGTTGCAAAACACATTATAGGTATTTGTTTAGAATGTCAAGCCTGAACTTACTTCCTTCACGTTTAGATGTTGCTGATTCTTTAAAAAAATCCAGGACTTCTTCACTATGTCATCAGGAAAGAGAAAACGCAATGATTTGACTTCTCAATATAATGCTGGTGGATATATACCTCAACAAGATGGAGCTGGGGATGCTACTCTTGGAGATTTTGAAATTGAGGTATTCTTGTTTTTGTATTGGTCAGCATCATATATATCAGATGTTTGTTTATTGTTTGTAAGTGGTACTGTAATGATGTTACTAGTTTAATTTCTTATGTGTATCATTTTTGTTTCAGTTGTAAATGACCCTGATATTTTACTGAATTGGAGCAAGGATATTCTAGTTTTGTAATTCTTTTGTTATTTTTGGCACATGTCATTCCAATCCCTTGAAAGTGTATTGTTCTGTTTGGTAGTAAATAATGCTCTTTCTCAAAAGTGGGTTACCAATTGGTCGGGACAACAATGAGGGATTAAGGAAGGAGGGGGATCCCTTGCAGTGTAGCTACCTACATTGCATCTGTCAATTTTGAAAAAATATAGATTATGCAGAGATATTTTTTCATACACATTTGAGTATTGTGACAGTTTAGCATGAATACAAATGAATAATCATTCAACTGCATCAAAACTATGAAGGCCCACATCCCAGAACTTAGTAACACTCATTTGTTGTTGGTCAGCTGTAGGAATGGTTTAATACAGGGCCAAGGCTTAAGAATAACGTTCTTTTTTTGTTCTGTAAATTTCTACCTTAGGATTGATTTTCCATATTTTTCTGCTTGCTATTTATTTTGGGAACTGTTGTTATTTGTGTCTTCTTTTTGTCAATTTCCTGCTTGAATCCCTTTTTTTGTGCATTGGACTATTGTACAAGTAGGTAAGATCAGGCTAAATTAATTTTGTTTGCTAGGGTCTTCAATTGTAGTTATAATTTATAGTTGATTTTGTCTCTCTTTCTTGCTGTAAACCTATTCATGAGATAGTGTTTATCTTTGAAATTTTATATCTTATTTTCAGTCTTCTGCTGTAGTTTTTACAGCTTTTTGTGGCACTTTATTGTGAGGTCGATTATTCAGCTCTTCAAGAACATAGACTCTGATTTCCGTGTAGATGTACATATTCTAGGTTGAGTGAATTTAGTTACCACCAATTCACTCGGGAGCTGCTTGACAATGTTCTAGTGTTTACTAACTTCAGAAATCTGATAAAAATTTGTCTCAAATTTTTATTTTTCACAATTGTTTTACTGTCATCTCAACTTTCAGGATGAAAGTAATAATGGTTTGCTGTCGCAATGATCTGCAGTTTTGACATTTCCCTCATATAGCATAACTGAGAATTTTAAATTGCCAGCTTCTTGCCAATTCCACTCTTCTGAATATACATTTTTTTGTTGCTTTTTACAGTGTACGAGCGTGCATGTTATTTGTGTTAATTAATTCATTGACTTGCTTGGTTGATGGAAAAAGGATATTCAGTTACTAAATCCTTAGAGATCAATCTTCCAGGTAAATGGGGGGCACATCTCCATTAATGCACATCACACTATTTCGAAAGGGAAAATGCCAGCAGATTTGGAGAGGTTGACTTCTACAATTCCTCAACTTGATGGACCAATTCCATATGATGAGGATGTGCTTTCTCCTCCAAATGTGAGTAGTGTTATTTGTCCTGTCTCCTTCTGTCCCTTATATTTTTGGGAAAAACACATTCGACCACCCGCTTTTAGTTCTTGGTAGATAGACACTCGAGCTTTCTAATTTTGCAATTAATAACCACGTTCAAGGTCAGTGTTTCAATAGCCACTTTATTTATACTCAATGAGTTCTTATTCATAATTTGAGTTATTCTTTTGTTGCAAAACTATGAAAGAAATGGAACCTTGGAGATCATTTCAGTAAGTTATGTGTAGTGAGAAAAATCAGAGTTTTGAGTACTCCCATTTATACGGTTGTCTGTTTATGAGCTACTTCTTTCCTTATTTAACATTGATAAAGCAGAATGAGTGAAGCTGTAATCCCGTATTACTTTAGAAGGGATTTAAGGGATTATTATTTTTTTAATTCTTAAAGTGGTTGCAATTTGAACAAGATGGATAGTGTAATATACCAACATGTGTATAATTTGGAACATGAATTAGTTGCTTATTTAATAATGGGGATTGATTTGATTTGCCTAGCTGCCATACCCAAGCTTAATGATACGTTTGGTTCTTAAAAACTCTAATTGACTGGATGGACTGTAAAATACCACTTAAAGTTACTAATTTTTTAGTCTTTTAAATTCCATTATGCTTCATTTGGCACTTCCTCCACCATGTCTTGTGTTTTATCATCTTGGTTTGTTTCATCCTGTGGCAGGTATACAACTATGGAGAAGTGTTCAGTGAAGACTACAACATTTCTAATACGCCAGCTCCTCCTGGTAATTCCATAATGTGAATGTATTAATTATATTTTGAAGATTTTTACTGCTTATATATTCTTTATCTGTTACTGTAGCTGATTATTTTTCCTTTATTAATTATTAGAAGTGCCAGCTAGCACCCCTGCTCTTGTGGCTCAGAATGAAGCGGGAAATGATTATGATGACGACGATGATGAACCTCCATTAAATGAAGAAGATGATGATGATTTGGATGACATAGAACAAGTAGATGATCAAAATACACATCATCTTGTTTTGGCACAGTTTGATAAGGTAACAACTTCCCTACACTCTGAACTAGAAATCAAGGGATTTTTTATATGATGCAGCTAGTGTGGTTCAGGGTTGGATGATTATTCTTTCTAATATGGTCTATCTTGCCAAACATTTAGGTGACTCGTACCAAGAGCAGGTGGAAATGCACATTAAAAGATGGTATCATGCACATAAATAATAAGGACATTCTCTTCAACAAGGTTTGTCACTGTTAAAGGAGAAGAAGTAATGTTATTTTCTACTTTTCCAATTTAATTTATCATCAAACTGTCATATATCTCTGCAGGCGACAGGAGAGTTTGACTTCTGATTTTGTTGGAGATGGTGCTTTCTTGAACCATGATTCGGAAATGTCAAGAGTGTTTCATGATCTTTCTTTGATTATAATTAAGTGAAACATTCAGGAAGAGAAAAATCCTTTCACCCTTTCGAGACTGTTGTTTTCATGTTGGCCTCCTGTACATAGAGAATGAGCAATTTTTGGCCTTTACCTGATATTAGAGACTCGGGCATTTCCTTGAGCCCCCCATTTGTAGTATGTGGTTCCTCTAGTTCTGTACACTTGGGCGCTTTGGTTAATTTAAGAATCCTTTGTCTGATAATGATAGTTAATTTTGGATTGTGGTTCTCTCAGGCTTAGCTTTTGAACACTAAAATCGGGGCGTTAATGTTTAGGTCGCAGGACTCAAGTTCGGGATATTGACATGAAACTTTAGACGGTAGAATAAAGGAAAATCTAACATTGGTATATTAAGGTTTACAATATTGTTTTCTACAACGTTGTCATGTATATGCTCTTCTAGATCAAAGACCGACTTTAGTGTGTAAGTGGTTTTCTTGGTATAAGGATGTTGTGTGCTTGTGATACCTTCTGAAACTATATTTCTTTATTGGTTGATTCACAGATCTATTTCTTATTAAGAACTGCAATAATTTTTATTCATTTTCCAATAAGAATGTTACACAATGCCTTACTAGCTTTTTTCCTCGAATATGTTATGCACACCAGAAGAATGTCTTAATCCTAATTGAAGTACAACTATTCTAGTAAAAAAGTAATAACGTATATTTTTTATAGAAGTTATTTTGTTTATTTTTTTATTCATCGAAATAAGTATATAAAAGTTTTTCGATTTCTACTAATCTATTTCATTTCTTTATTTATTTCACTCCACTTTCAAACAAACACAAACAAGCATGCATAAATGATATCTATAAATGTATATGATTGTACCGTCATTTTTCTCGTAAGAAAATTAAAAGTAATCCTAGAAAATGCAATATGCCAACCATTTTAGTTCTACAGTCATTTGATAAGAAAAAACATTTGCAAAATTCTTCTTGTTTAAGTGAGTCCGTATGTTATCATAGAAATGGAGATAATCTTATTGTGTAGTGAATTAAAATGGTACCAACAAGAACCCTTTTTAGAATAATAAAAATACCATATAAAGTGCTCTCTCTGTCTCTGAAAAAACAAAATATATACAATAATAATAGAGTAATATAATTATATATAACAAAATAATAAAGATAAAAATATTAAAATAATAATATTATTATTATTATAACGTAATATTTAATTAAAATAAATTTATGACAATAAAAACAGTTTAGTTATTTTATAATTTTTTTTTCTTTTTGACTTTCTTGTTTCCGCTCTTCATCCCAACACAAAAGTTTGTAATCTCTAAACCTTCTGTATTTTGTCTTTAAAGATTTTATCGGCCATTGAGACATGGCAAGGCTGTTTATCAGACCACACAAGCAGCTTATTTATGTCTATTTAAAAGAATAATAATAAAATAACACATTTATATTCATTGACATATGTTATAAGAATAAAATAGTTATAAAAAAAGTAAACTTTTATATTTTTTGAAAAGAAAAAAAAAGAAAAGTAAAAAATGGATAGTATGTAAAAAAATTTATGTATCTCAAAAGTATTATGTCTCTCTGCAACAATAACAAAAAGAAAGTAAGGACAAAAAAAAATTGTAGAATAAAAACTAGTAATCCGATAGACGAAGATATGGAAAAGGCCTGACGAAAAATTATTGAGTAAATATATCTTGATAGTTTTGTTTTTTTCTTCACCCCAACAGATTACAGAAGAAGAACAATAGTAAAGACTACAGTATAAGAAACTTTAACACTAACTGCATGCATTTGCAGTTAAATGGAATACATCTGAATACAAATAATGCATAATCTCTAATCGAACCCCAAGATGATGCTAAGTAAGATCATTATTACTATCCTAAAAGCAGTGAAGTGCAGCCTCAGCTATTTTTAAACAAGAAATAACATAAAGCAACCCTTAACAGTGGTGAATAATATATAATTCACTAGGCATGATTCACGAAGACACAATGCTTTTGGAAGAAGCTACAGAAAGATGATGATGAAGCATGGGGAAACGAAGCCATAGCTGGATGCTCCCAACCAGTAGTCCTATCCTGATTCATCATGCCATTGTTTTTCTCAGTATTCTCTGATGTTCCAACACGAACAGTGATGTCGTCATATATTGGCTGATGGGAAAACATAAGTGGAGACAACAATGGTATAGCCTTTGAAACCTCCCCAAAAGGGTTAGAGGGTCGATCACAATGAACCTTATCAATGTCAAGAGATGCAGGTGCCTGCTTCTGTAGCCTCGTACTGCACCCTTCTCCTCTTCTTCTCATCAACCTACCTTTGCATTCCATTTCCATCAATATAAGCTTTCTGATTTGTCTCGGTTTGCAACCAGGAACGATTATAATTAATAAGCTCTATAAGTTGATTCCTCTTTGCTCGAGACAATAATGATATCAACAACGTGTACGAATTAGTGTCATGCAAGTTTTTACTGGTGCACTTGTAGAGATTTAAAAGGAATGAAGGAGAAGAAGATAGAGCTTAGCCTCAGAAACAACTCAGTAACAAAACGATACTACTTTTGGGTGGTTTGTAGCTTTTGTAGGAGCATATGTCCCTTTATTCCTTCGTTCGTTTTTTTGTTTTTTAGTTTATTGTTCAATGTTTTCCTCCGCAAGGTAAGGACCAGAACAACATTGCCAAACAATATCCCTTTATAGAAACATTACAGCCATTGTTCATATATGTATCTTAACATTTTCAACAATATATATATATATATATATATATATATATGCATGTAACTAATAATATTTAGTTGTCTTCATGAGCTAAATATATCAACACATTTTATTCTACCAATTTGCATGCATTTCTGATCCGATGTTGTCAAGAGATTATATTTATTTCATTTGGATTTAAATTGTGATTAACAATGCTTATAAATGAAATATTAGATAGAAAATTGATATTTTAACACACGTAATTTTTTTATATTTATTTGACATTACTTTTTTTATTTATTTTTACATAAATTCATTTTTTTACAATCATTTTATCTTATTATGTGTATCAAATTAATGTAAATATCTTTCATCCTATTATTAATTTGTTCACCCTAACGTTTAAGTGTTCCTTCTTTATGTAGTATTCATTTTATTCCTTGCACGAATATATACTTACTTTAAGAAAGAAAAAAGTTATATATGTTGATATACTGCAAATTATTATAGATATTTCAGGGTACAAAGAAAACTCTATAAAAATGAAATCTATAACGTATTGCAAGAGTTAAGAAATGCTATATATATAAAAATTATGTTAAATGTGGAAATTTTAAATACTTTTTTTTAAATTGTCGTTTTTACAATCACACTTGTAGAATTGTCATCTTTTTTTATATAAAGAATGTTGTTCATAATTGATAATTTATTAAATATCATACTATTGTTAAAAAGTATAATATTATGACGTGTCCTAAAAAAATCATAACTTATTCTCACTTAACTATAATTTTCACTCCCTTCCTCATTAACTCTTATTTCGCATACTACAATCATGGAATGATACTTGAATTTAAAATAATATTAGTCGGCTTTAAAACAAATATAAATAATTTTATATTATTGTTTACTTTAAAACATAAAGTTTCAGTGAAAATTAACATATTTTATTTTATATTTTAATGTATAGTAGTAATCTAATATTAATATAAATCTTTAACATAAATTAATTAAAATATTTAGACGAAAATGTTTTTTTTTATTTTATAAATGAGAATATGTTATGGGGAATTTCTCTCTACACAGTATTGTAGTAGACAAAAGTAAATAAACAAACTTCCCTACAAATAAGTTAAAAAAGTTAGATAACAGAAAACTTTATATATTAATGTATTGGACATTATTTAGTTTTAACATTAAAAAAAAGTTATTTAATTTAGTTTTCTTATCTTTTTCACTATAAATACTTATGAAAAGAAAATTCAAACATGTTTAAAATATGTTTTTTATAATTAGCTAATATTAGATTATTAGAATAAAAAGAAGAAAAAGAAACACAGAGGAGTGGAAACAGTAAAATGTGGGAATGGAAATTGAAAGTCCAACAGAAAATGGATTAGAGAGAAAGAAGGCCCAAAGAAGATTGGGCCCAAAGTGAAGATCAGAAAAGGGGTGGAGGTGGCGGTGGTAGTTGCGCAGCAGAAAGAACGATTTGGAAACGAAAGGACAGAGTCAGTTATGGGCGGTGCATTGTGGGGAACGCGCGTGATGGAGATCGTGAAGAAGCATGACTCTGGAGGACTCCTTTGGAAGCGAATTAAACTCACCACCACCAGAAAGGCCAACGCTAAGAAGCGCCTCCTCCGCGTTTGGCAGGTTTCCATCTCTCTATATCTCTCTGTTCTTCCTTTTTAGGGTTTCTTTTCTTCTTCTTCTTTCTCGATAATCACATCTCTCTTCTTTCTTCTGAATTCGTTTTGAAGAATGAAGCTGTCTTGAAAGCATGTTCTCAATCATCTGCTCCCGCTCCTGCCACTGCCAACAACTCCTGAAGGACGCTTGTTTCTCGTCATTCAATCCATTTTTCGCTTCAAAACCAATTTGTAACCCCCAAACATCCTACTCCATTTCTGCCTTTATAGACTGTTTTGTAATATGTGGTTTTAATATATTGCTGACATATCTTGGTAGTTATTCTTACTGATTTAGATTCTAATGGTATTATTACCGTCTTTTCTTCCAGCCTCGAAATTTTATTGTTTTCAATTGAGTAACTTTCTTTGATTTTATAATCTGCTCTGAGGTTTCAATTGACTAACGATGAATCATTAGAAATAGTATTGCTGGAAAAAAAACAAAAATTATAGTTCATTTAACCAATTAATTTATGCATACACCAACACTTAAGTGTGAGATGTTTTCAGAAACATAGAGCGGCCGTTTATTTGATTTATGCATAGCTAATAAAAATATTCACATATGAAATAATATATTTATTTTGTTTTATTCCAATCAAGATATTCCAATGATTATAACATTCCATACAAAACATACTCAAACTCAAATACGAGACTTATAAGTTCTAAAAATACCTGCGAGTTCATTTTCTTTTTCTTTGAATGCATAAAAGATCAAACAACACATCATATATAGGCAGCACATTGTTATCTTAACTTAGTAGCAAAATCGACAGTAAAAGGACTTCAGTATAGTAAATTTGTGCAGTGTTTTCCTTTCCTTTTATTCTATTCTTCAGAAGCACTGACCAAAAAACAAATACATTACCGATAAAAGAAAATTCTATTCGTCAGATATCATATACCACCAAGCACTAAGCCATAAAATCAGCCAAAGTAGCAATGACAGCACACTGTTTTTCTGATGAATCCTTCTATAAATTAGTAAAAGTTCACGGTGCACACTGCACTCATTTCTGTGGATAAATGGTACACAGTTTATTCCATATATTGAATTTTACAAAACATTGGAAATGACTTTTCGGGTCTAGTTATTATTATATACATACACAAAATGGAAAAAAAGAAAGCATGTAGTCATATACAAAGTTGCATGAAGGCGATGCTTGGAGAACTTAATTTGCCTGTAGAATTCTCCCACGGTTCTCATCCTCACCAACTGCAAAATATACTGTGATATCACATGAATATTGTGGATTTTATGTAGTGACAAAAGAGCTTTGCATGAAAAAAAAGATGATAGTATCAAACAGATATGATATATAGGATATATGGCAGAACGGTGCATTTGTAATGATAGTGTTTTACCTTGTTGAGTTTGTGATGAAGTGCGTGTAGTAGGAATTTTGACTCCATATTCTTCTGATGGCTCCTCATTCCCGAGTAATGAATTTACAGCTCCTCTCACCTTGTCCATCATGCCTGAATTACTTGGACCATTTTCTCCATATGTCACCTGAGGCTGAGATTCAGTTTTTATATCATCCCTTGGCTCTGACTTGCTCATTGAATAATCTTTGGCCAAAGCACTCTTTTGGCCTGTGTTTTTCCCTCTCAATGAAGCAACTGAGAAGGATGATGATTTTTGCAATGGAATCATATTTGTGGCATCATTCCCTTGTTCAGACCTGTTCGTTGAATAATCTTTGAATGAAAGAGTCTTTTGAGTAATCTTCCCACTCTTTGAAGCAGATGAAGATGACAAATCTTGCTTTGGAGACTCAATTTTGGCATCACCCTCTTTTTCAGACTTGTTCTTCAAATAATCATTGACTGAAGCAACGTTTTGGCTTGTATTCTTCCTACTCTGTGAAGCAGGTGAGGAAAATGAATGTTGCAGCCGAGATGATGAAACAGATGAATTTTGGGACGGGATGCTGTTGGCTGAAAGCGACCCTGCAGCATAGGCAGGTATCATTTTCTGAGCTAAGGTTTCAGAGTCGTTGGATGAAGATGCTGCCACTGTCGTTGCAGTATTAGGTTGAGTTGTTGAAGTGAGTTTGGGATTGACAGCAGCACTTGGCTTTTCTTGATCTTCCTGCATTCCTAGTTTGACAGCGTTGTGCAAAACGTGCTTCTCAGATATTACTGGATTTGCTCTTGGATGTTGCCTTGCATTTTCTTTGTATGTCTCAGGTGCCTGCTCCGATTCATACACTGAAATGTAAAATTTACTCCCAGTAAGGATTTGTAAAGAAGAAAGAACAAGTCCTTGTGAAAATGAATAATAAACAAAGGGGCAAGGAGAAATTATCTTATGAACGATCATATGGTCCCTATTTACGATTTCATATCATATAAATATTAGCGAGGATCATTCATTCTGAGACAATATAAAAATTTGTTGAATGATGTGTATTAATTACTGGGAGCTCCAAGGTATTCAGCGTCGTCTTCTTCTTCTTCTTCAATTTCTTCCTCCTCCTCTTCATCCGCAAACCTAGCTCTACTAGAGGGTGTGACATTGTCGTCCTCTATTCTTTTCTTGCTGAGGCTGTTGCAAAATTTCCGGGCCTTTTGCTTCACTTTGGTGAGGACTGATTTCTTCTGATAGAGGCCTTGGTCTTCTTCCAGGTCCTGTTGCTTCATAGGAGAGGAAGGGGAAGAGCTAGTTGGTGACATCCTAGAAGAATCCCCGGCTGCACCTGTAATCACGGGAACTTAGAATATGATTTTGGAAACAAATCCTTCCACACCATTGAAAGAAAGAAAGAAGAGAGAAAGAAAGAAAGAAAAAAAATGTACATTTGCTTGTGTCAGGAGGAGAAAAATAACAATAATTTGATAGAGTTTATGATATGTGAAAGAATCCATAATCAACACTCAATAAATTTTCTCTGGCCTACCCTTCACATCCATATCATTTTCTTTGATATACAATCTTTCTTTAATTACCAGCGTTTACAAATGCATGGTTTGAAATTCAATTGTTTCATGGCGGTGACATGCCCTTTTGTTTGTAACTAGCTTATGTAACATAATTAAGCTGTGTCTAAAGCTATGATATATTCTTGAATGTTGAGAAATTAAAGATTACTTCGGAGGAAATGTTCCACACTAGCAATGCTGGTAGGACTCCTTGCAGTATCAATATGTTTGTAAGTACGGTCAGGCATTTTCTCTGACTTTTTTCTTCTTCCCTGTATTCCAATTTGCCTCAGATTTTTTAATAACTCTGCTTTTATATTTGTTCTTCTATGGTTAATAAATAATAGGCAGAAATTTAACACAGAATGAAGAGTGGTAAATCAATTGGTTCCGCAGTTCTAGCACACCATGGACATATATTTGAGGGCTTATTTTCTACACGTGGAGACTACTAGCCATTTTTCTTACTGCTAAACCTCTCAAATTATCCGTTCCTGGTATAGAAAGTTGACCAGACCAGGATAAGAAAAATTGTTGGTGCCTCAATATCAACCCTATCTCAGTCATCAAAACTTTTTCCTTTAGTCTAGCCTTATTTTAGTATACCTTCCTTCTACTCTCCAAGTCGTTATGTAAACTAAATATTGATATATAGTGCTGTTGTGACAAAATAACTATAATTGGTTGGATGGAGATTATCTATAATATGATAATAATTTAAAGGGTTAAATATGTTTTTAGTCCCTAAACTATTGACCGTTTCTGGTTTTCGTCCCTCTTCCAAAGTAAGGTACAATTTAGTCCTCAATCTTTAAAAAACGTTCGTTTTAGTCGAAAAAACGAACGTTTTGAGGACTAAAACGAGGACTAAAAACAAAATTTTGAGGACTAAAACGAACGTTTTTCTAAAGAATAAGGACCAAATTGTACCTTTACTTTGGAAGAGGGACGAAAACCAGAAACGGCCAATAGTTTAGGGACTAAAAACATATTTAACCCTAATTTAAATATATAAGAATATATTAGTTAATAGATTTGCTAAGTAACAATTTTATTTAAATCTATTTTAGGTGTAGGTATGGGTTTTCAGTAAAAAATAATCCATGTTATACTTTTCTCCAATCCTCTCAATGTAGTTTTCCGTTTTAGTTTTAATTTTAAAGTTCTCTTAAGTTGTTAATACTCATTTTCTAATTTGGAGCAAGTAACAGTAAAGTATTAAATTCACGGTAAATATAATTAATTATCTCTTTATCTCTTTATTTTATTGGATTTGGTTTTGAAATGAATAGAATTTAATTTAACTGAATGATTGACTGATTCAAACTCTGATGTGCTTTTATCATAAATCATTCTCTCAATAGCTGATTAAACAGTTATATAATACAAAATCTATTAATAGTTTTTTTATATTGTTGTTAAAATGTAATCAAGTGTTATGTATTTATAAAAAATTGATTATTATATAATTAAAAACTTAGAAAAATTAATTTATAATTATTAGTATTTTTATTATAATTGATTATTTCAAATAGTATAATTTCGTAGTTATAATTACACACATTATTACATTAGAAGATATACAATTTTTATTAAATGAAATTATTGATTTTAGTCCTTATTTTTTTCACTTATATTTATTTTATATTTATAGAATTTGTAGTAGAAGATATACAATTTTTATTAAGAGAAATTGTTGATTTTAGTCCAAATATTTGTCATTTACATTTGTTTCATATTTATAGATGTATTTAGTTAATAATGCATTAATACTATGTGTATATGACACACAATGATAAATACATAATTATTATTATGTGAATTTTAAATTAAAATGATATATGTTAAAGTTATTAATATAAAAAAATTTAAATTATTATTATTATATAATTTCATTAATAAATATGATAAAGTAATTCCGCCTACAGTATTATATAATACAGGTTTTATATTTTTGTATCACTAAATTGTAAAATGGTAGTGAGACATGTAGCCGATGGATGAAGAGATATATAACAACACAGGGGAAGGAAGAGAAAAGAAAACATAAAAAACCAAACCCATCAAAAACCCTTCTTCCTCACTCCATTTCTCTCTCTTATCCAATCTGTCACCTTAAACTCAACAATGTCGTCCTTCACTGCCTCTAACAACCTCAGCACCGCCATTCTACCCTCTCGCCGGAGAAAACTATCTCCATCTTCTTCCATCAAATGCAACCTTTCACCTTCCAAACCTAACGATTCAAATCCCTCTGCGCCTGCTCCGCCGCTCTTCAAAGCCATCGCCATCTCTTCCGCAGCCTCCATTCTCCTCCACTGCACACCTCTCACCCCCTTCCTCTCCAACCCCCTCGCAGGCGGAGGGAACAGCGGAGGCGGCGGAGCCGGTGGAGATGGAGGATGGTTCGGCGGAAATGGAGGCGGCGGCGGAGAAAACGGAGGGTTCTTGTCTAGAATGTTCGCTGCTATTGCCGACGAATCTCAGTCTCAGGAGTGGGATTCTCATGGTTTGCCCGCGAACATCGTTGTCCAGTTGAACAAAATGAGTGGGTTCAAGAAGTACAAGGTTTCCGAGATCATGTTCTTCGATCGGAACAGGAGAGTGAAAGTGGGCTCTGAGGATTCGTTCTTCGAGATGGTTTCGCTGAGGCCTGGTGGGGTTTACACGAAGGCGCAGCTTCAGAAGGAGTTAGAGACTCTCGCAACTTCTGGCATGTTTGAGAAGGTTGATTTGGAGGGGAAAACCAACCCTGATGGGACAATTGGGGTTACCATTTCGTTCAGCGAGAGTACGTGGCAGTCTGCGGATGGGTTTCGCTGCATCAATGTAGGGCTGATGCAGCAGACAAAGCCTGTTGAGATGGATTCGGATATGACTGATAAGGAGAGGTTGGAGTACTATTTGAGTCAGGAGAGGGAATACAAGAGGAGAATCGACAGGGCGAGGCCGTGTCTCTTGCCGAGGTATGTGCACGATGAGATTCTTGAAATGCTCAAAAGACAAGGCATGGTCAGTGCTAGGTTGCTGCAGAGGATCAGGGACCGAGTGCAAAAATGGTACCACGATGAAGGCTATGCGTGTGCTCAGGTGGTTAATTTTGGGAATCTTAACACCAAGGAAGTTGTTTGTGAGGTTGTTGAAGGGGATATCACCAAATTGGATATTCAGTTCCAGGATAAGCTTGGCAATGTTGTTGAAGGGAACACTCAAGTGCCAGTGATACAAAGAGAGCTTCCTCGGCAGGTATATATTGTAGGAGATATGTATGCTTGTGTTGTATTGGAGTTTTCTGGTTAATTGGGGTAGGTTATGAACGTTTGTTATCTGTGCGATTGATGTGTTTGGTGTGATCGACAGCTACTTTACACGATTATCTTCCTGTACAGGATACAGTGTTGGAGATTTCACTTCAACTAGTTATATACTAATCAAAGTGTGTGCTTAGGGAATAATCTTCACTTTTAAAAACCAGTTTCATAAGGTCGAGATAGACCTAAACCCAAATTCTAATGTGGAATATAAAGTCTATCCTCGCTATTGTTGGTGTGCCTATCGAGCTGTTAATCCTCAACTTGGAAAGGGGTGTTGGAAATTTCACATTGACTAGCCATTACATGACCCTTACATTAGAAGTTGGTTTTGAGAGGTCTAGTTTTAAGCCCAAGTTCTAATAATTAGCGTATTATGTGTTTACTAGTTTGTTCCGATATTATTCCTTCTGTTTGGTTTTTGTGTTGTTTTATCTGTTCATTGATTTGTTACTAACTTCATGGATGTTTGTGTTGGATTCACAGCTACGACCAGGTTTCACTTTCAACATTGAAGCCGGGAAGCAAGCTTTAAGAAATGTGAACTCCCTTGCTTTGTTTTCAAATATTGAGGTGAATCCAAGGCCTGATGAGAAAAATGAAGGAGGTATAATCGTGGAAATTAAGTTAAAGGAGTTAGAACAGAAGTCGGCTGAAGTCAGTACTGAGTGGAGTATTGTCCCAGGACGAGGAGGGCATCCCACCCTGGTATTTATTTGTCAAACAAATATCAATTCTCTTTAACAAGTGATGAATTATTTGTGTCCAATTAATTTGTTTACTTTCTATTCAAATTTGTGTAGGCTTCACTTCAGCCAGGTGGTACTGTTAGTTTTGAACATAGGAATCTGCAAGGGCTGAATAGATCTGTTAACGGTTCTATAACAACCAGCAACTTCTTGAATCCCCAGGTAGGTATCCTTGAGCTTGTCCTATGAGTTCCTTAATTTGGTCCTGCCAATAGGTGCTTAGTGATATTGGCATCGGTATCACAATATGCCCTATTTATTCTGCTTCAGGATGATCTTGCATTTAAGCTAGAGTATGTGCATCCATATTTGGATGGTGTGTACTATCCACGTAACCGTACTCTCCGTGTAAGCTGCTTCAATAGCCGAAAGCTGAGTCCTGTGTTCACTGGGGGACCAGGTGTGGATGAAGTGCCCCCAATTTGGGTTGATCGTACTGGTGTTAAAGCTAATATCACAGAGGTAACTTCATTGGTTCTTTTCAACTATATGAACTTTGGGTTGGCCATTTGGGTCATTGGTAATTTTCACTAATTATTTTGTCTTGTGCGCCATGCAGAATTTCACACGTCAGAGTAAATTCACCTATGGACTTGTAATGGAAGAGATAACAACACGTGATGAAAGTAGTCATATATGTTCAAATGGTCAAAGAGTATTACCGAGTGGAGGAATTAGTGCTGATGGACCTCCAACCACTCTCAGTGGTACTGGCATTGATCGCATGGCATTTTTACAGGCAAATATCACACGGGATAACACACGTTTTGTGAATGGAACTGTTGTTGGAGACAGAAATATGTTCCAGGTGACTCTACACTCTGCCTTTGTAATTATATACATGGATAAATTACACGTTCCTATCAATTTTGTGATATTCAGAAACTTTCAAAAAAATTATATTTCTTTATATAAACCATGATTTATATTGATCCAACCATTAAGTTATAACTCTATATTACCTTGGGTGTTTGTCAAAATTAGACAATTTAAGTAATCAGGTGAATCTTTTTTTTTTCTTTTAAAGTATATAGTGTCAAATTGAGGTATATCAATGGAGTATTAAATAATTTTAGATTAATATAAGATTTTGTTGTATGATTTATATTTTTCTTAATAATCTTAATATAATATATGATTTAATTATCCAATAAAAAGTTATTAAAATAGTAGATCCCTTCACATTTATATATGTATGTGTGAAGAT